AGCAGTCACTGTCTGGAAAAACAGGCTGTTTCTTTCAGAAAGTGCAGTTAGAGGAGACTTCACTGAAAAGTTAAAGCACTAAAACAGAATTAGTTCTGATTTAGCCCAAACCAGGACAGAGTCTTAACTGGACTTGATTTTACCATTTTCACTTACCATTTTACTGTTTTTCTCTTACCATCTTACCATTTTAACTGCAAGGGTTTGGCTAATTTCTTTGCTAATCCCTTTGTCGGTAGCCATTAATTTTTAGCCACCTGAGACAAACAAGGCCCCTAGAAAGCAGGTGAAACGTTTGTGCTCCCAGTGTTGTTCACCTATACCAAATAACTCCTTCCAGATGGTGTCCAGGACTGGCAGTGTCTGATGTCTGCTACAGGACCAAGTCAGTAACATCCCAGTGCCACCTTAGTAGTCCTTTTTGCTTTGTGTTCCCAGGACCTTCATGGTTATGAACCCAACCGATTCCGTGTATTCCTTCCAGTGGACTTGCCAAGACCCTGAAGCTCCGTCAGAACGGGTGGCTTTCTTCTGCCTCACAGAGAGAGGTCAGATCCAGCCAGGGAAGAAAGCAGAGGTGGGTACAGAAAACTAAGAAAGTAGATCCAGTACACGTGTATGCCAGTTTAACACCAGCTATGTCTGCACTTACTGGGCATCCCATCTCACTATGAGCTTGCCAAGACCGTGAAGAAACCTTTGACTGCAGTCAAAAGTGAACTGGCAGGTGAACTGGTTGTCACCCTGTACCCCACATCTGCCAGGTTTTGGGGCTGTAAGTGGCACAGCAGCACATCTCTCAGCTCGCAGCAGTATAAGGTGGAGGTTCCTGGGGCTTCTTGGTGGTATAGGCTGCACCCCCCTCCCCTTACCCTGCCAAGGGCAGCAACTATCCTTCATTTGCCTCTTTCTCCCACAGATGAAGTTTGAATTCATCCCCCAGCACCTGGATATCACAGAATCATTCTGGGTCTTTACAATCCCTGAGCAGAGCATTTCGGTCCCGTTCCTCTTGGTGGGCAACACCACCGACCCGCTAGTGACTCTGGACAGATCCCACCTGAACTTCCACTTGGTGTTAACTGGTGAGCATCATGGTTACAACTAACATGTGGACCATTCCAGGGACCCGACAGTCCTGTTGTTCCAGCTGGCTCCAACAAGGAAGCTGGAAATGGAAACAGGGACTTGTGAGCAAATCATCCAGCTCCTGGTACCCAAGTGTACGAGGGAAAGGAAGGGGAAGGGAGAAAGGCATGTGGTTGGGGCTGTTTCCAAGAGGGGATTTGGGGGTGATGCAGGGGAGCCCAGGGGGTCAGAAGTGCATTTCCGTGTTGGCAACCTGAGCATGCCATACTGCAAGCAATGGTCCTCGCTGCAAATTGCCTGCTGGGCTCAGCCTGCAGGCAGGAACGCAGTGGGCAGTGGTGGTCTGGTGGCCAGAGGAACAAAAGGTTTTCAGCAGCTTCTTCATCCGCTCCCCAGGGCACAAGGTACACCGGACTATCTATATGATCAACCATGAGAAGAAAGCCTTCAGCTTTGCTTTCAGAAAAAGTTCACTCTTCTCAGTTGGATGCAATGCCTCTGTGAAAATAGAGCCCCTGGAAGGCTCCATCGCTCCTCTTTCAAGGTAACAGGGCTCACCGGCCAGATTGCCTCAAACGTAGTACCAAACGTTGCACTGTTGTTTTGGTTTTAAGACTTTCTCCCCTCCTCAGTCACCAGGTGACTCTCAGCAATAGCATACATCTGCCTTGGTTTGTTCCTCCCCAATGGGGACACCATGAAACTGCAGGTCTCTCCATAAAGTGGCTGTGTTGGGGTTATCCTGGTCTTCTAGGCCCCCTTCCTGGAGAAATTTAGGTTTTGGATCTTCTAGTTCTGATGATAAAAGCATGTTTGAGGGTTTTAACCCTGTGACCCCCTGAGCCAGCAGCCCTAAGTGTGCAAGGTCTCCTCTCTTCTCTGTGTTCCACCACGCATGGTCCGTACAAAGCTACCAAGAGCAGCAAAGCACAGAAGCATCACTGCAGCAGGGACAGCAACAGGCTTACACAACTAGCTGTGTTTTGCAGGATCACCTGTCAGAAAACAGATGCTCTTTTCTTGTAAGCTGCAGCCATGACTTGCAATCAGACACGATCATGAGTTCAAGCAGTATAACAGTCACTAGCTCATCTGCTGGTCCACCATGGATGTCCTTGTGCCCACTGATAGCCTGCCTGGGTGTAAGGAGAACGTGTTAGGTCTGGACAGCTTTGCTGTGGCTTAAAAGATGCTGAATTTTGGCTTGCTGCAGGGTGCGAGGTAAGAGAGCATCCTGCATCAGCTACTGGGCCTCACCTGAGAAGTGGTAATTCCTTAAATCTCTGTAGTTTGGTTGTATTTGATCACATACTCAGAAATTACCCACAAAAATTACAAAGAGGCAGTTTGGTGGCACCCACATTGCACTGCTGTCATAGGAGGTGCATAATTACTCTTTGCAAAGAGGATGTTACCCCTGTCATATAGATCAGAGAGACTGGGAAGCTCTATGAGTGCCCTCCTCTGTGTTTGGGACAGAAGTGGGGTCTCAACCCTGTGCTGCCCTGTAGCACATGGGCAGGGCAGTGAGGTCAGCATTAGCTCAGGATTTGCTGCCTTGTCGTTGTATCCTCTGCTGTTCCATTGCATGGAATCATCATACCCTGACCAGGGCTTGCTCCACAGCAGAAAGCCCTGGAAGGGCAGAGCACTGCTTCTAGTTTCTCCCAGGCCTGGGGTCTCACCACAGCCATTGCACAGCTGCTGTCCTGTACAGCTGGCAATGTGGGGCCAAGAAAGCAAAGAGGCAGTGGATGGAGCAAAAAAGGGTCTTCTCTCTCCAGGCTTCCCATTACAGTCGTCTTCACACCAACACTAGAAGGAGAGGCAGTCTTCAACCTCAAGTGTGATCTCAAGAGGAAGACTCAGCCCCTCTCCCTGAATATCAAGGCCACCAGCTATAGCATGAACATGTCTGTCAGGTGCGAGGACAGCAACGGCCATGTCACCAAGCTCAGCACGGAGAAGGTCAACATCATTGATTTCAAGGAGGTGAGCACTTCCCTGAACTGTTTGCCCCATGAAGCCCTGCCCGATTGGGCCTTAACCAGGAGCTTTGCAGATATGTTTGAACAAGAGGGAATGCTTTTCTTCATTTATGGGTCTCTAGAGGGAGGGAGATTGATTTTTCACACAGGTTGTTAGCTGAATGGAAAAGATGCAGGAGCACATTAGGAAGAAGCACTTGCTGGGCCAGCTGAGACTTTGCATGTGCTCCAACCCCTTGCTGCCTTTTCCCCGCAGGTACAGCTGAACGAGAACATCAAGCGTGTCTTCAGTATCTGCAATAACAGCAAGTTCAGCTTCACCTTCTCATGGGAACTGAGTGGCCCTGCAGCCCGTAAGCAGGTCCTTACCATCACCCCTCGGACAGGCACCGTGTGGGCAGAAGGGAAAGCAGAGACGCAGCTGGCTTTTCACCCACAGAAGATGTGCTCTTTAAAGGGCGTAGAGCTGAAGCTGCAGGTGAGGCACCAGCATTTAATATGGGACCTTCACCTTCCCTACGCAGCAGCTTGGCAGCAGGAGCCCAGAGCCAGGGGTGAGCTTCATCACTACAGAGCCCGAATGAGGTAAAGAGGCTCCTGCAGACAAAATAAAGAGCCTGACAGCTTCTGAATGGAATATTTTAGTAAGTGCTTATCCAGGACCACTTTGGGAAGCACTTTTGTGGCAGGACATATACCCCAGGCCCTTTCTGCCACTAGTTTGGGGGAGGTGCGCAGCCTAGATGTGCATGGAGATGGAGCTGTTTCTCTTTGCCAGGCCCTTCCTGAGTCGGGTTCCACAGCTCAGAAAGGTCTTGCCAGCACATGGCTGTGCAAAGCAGGGATGTGACTCTCCAAAAAACTTTCCCTCTCAGACCAAGCCTTCCACTTTCTATTTCTATTCTGGTGTCCTTTGGCACTAGCTTTTCCTTATTGTTACTGCAGCCAGCTGTCCCCCATCCTCTTCCTCAGCCATCTCTGTTGTTTATAGTTGTAGTTCCCATCTCTTCAGCTGGCTCATGCTTTCTTTCACCCCACCAGATCAGCAAGGGTCCCACGTTTACCTGCATGTTCCTGGCCACCGTGGTAGTGCCCCCTGTCCACTTCTCCACCACCAGACTCAACTTTGGAGCCTGCTTTGTCTACCACGCTGGGATGCCACCTGCCCAGCAGACTGTTGTCATCACAAACAAAGCAGACAAGGATGTGAGGTAGGCCTTCTCCGCACAGTCCTTCAGCCCTTGCCTAGCATGTGCCTGCTCCATGTCCTCATGACCACTGTGGGTGAAATCCTGAGGATGCAGGGAGAGGAGACAGGAGGGCCCTAAACAGCCCTGATGTTTTCATCTCAGCACACACAGCCTTGTGACACCTCTGCTCCTCTTTGCTGTGCTTTCTGTCAGCTTGAACTGCTTGTTCACCAGCACTGCACACCTGGAGGTGGACTTCCCAGGGTCTGTCCTATGCCCAGGAGGGACAGTGGAGGTGCCCATCACTTTTTATCCCAGAGAGGTTGTGTCTTACCACGAGCTCATCCCGTTTGAAATCAATGGTCTTTGCCAGCAGACTGTTGAGGTCCGAGGAAAGGGCACAGAAATGAAGGTGAGATGAAATCCAAATCCTAAAACTCCAGGTGGCAGGCAGCCAGCATGGCTTTCTCAATTTTCCTCATCTCTTCCCTAGCCTACCATGTTTTGGTTTTCTGACACGAGGGTGGCAGAAAACCTGTTCTCCTTCTTTCCTTTTGCTTTACATTAATCCCTCCTGCCTCAGGTTGATGTTGTGGAACCAGCAGGAAAGGTGGTGAAACTGGGAGCCCTCTCCATTGGACAGATGGTGAAGAAGATTGTCACCATAGCAAACAACAGTGCTGTCCCTCTCACTTTTAAGCTCAGTCTTATGTCCACCACACCAGAGCTGCAAGAAGCTGGGGTAAGGCTTCTTCCTTCACTGGAGAGCACTTTGGTGTGCCTACAGGGATACCTGCAGGTAGCTATGAGCTGCTCTGGGCAGGAGCTAGTAGATAATTACAATTGTATGCTGTCCTGGCTGCCTGTATGCTGCCCTGTCCTCCCTGCTGGGACTGTTCTACCAGCAGATACTTGCAATATGAATGCCTCATCTGAGCTAGGTGTCAGGACTCCCCTAAGAGCCAGAAGTGAGAGAAGGTACAAATCCTTTCATCTGTTTTAGACACATACGTTAGGATGTGGCCATGTGACTAAGAGTTACAGCTCTCTTGGAGCTCACGTGAAGGTACTTTGAAAGACATAGCCCAGCTCACCATGGCCAGATGGACACATCACAGGAACACATACCTTGGTACCTAGGGATGCATACCAGGGAGCGAGTAGGACTGGGGCAATGTTGATGGGGACAGAACAGGAATTGGAAGACTCTAGGGAGGATTCACAGCTCAGTTGCCAGATGAAGTAGTCTCCACTCATTTCTTTGGGCAGGTTCTCTGCTTGAACCCCACCAGCAAACTAAGTCTGAAGCCCAAAGGAGACACCTGTAAAGTGGAGGTGACCTTCTCCCCGAAGCGTCGCATCCAGCCATTCAACGAAGAAGTGATGTTGGAGTGCAGTGGCCTGGTGCGCTCCCTCTTCATGGTGCAGGGCTCCTGCCGGGGCATCTGTGTGAGCTTGGACCAGGAACACCTCAGCTTTGGAGTGGTGATGCAGCAGAGCTACACGTCCCAGCACATCATCATGCAGAACATAGGCGACATAGGAGTCAAGTAATGCAAAACCCTGTCTTTTCTGAGGGCTGAGAGCTTGGATGGGAGTTGGATGGAGCTGTAGCTTGCCCAGATAGTTCCCCTCTGCTTTTCCATCCCACTGGAGAATTGTGCAGCCAAGGCTGTGCCGTCAGGCCCTGTAAGTTAGGAAGAGATACACCAAAAGCTTGTTTATAGATGGATACAGCTGAGTCCTGCACAGCCTGAAGCCTTATTGCCAGGTGGCTCAGTGTTGCAACTGAGATCTGGTGGAAAAATCCACAAGAGTGGTGGAAACAGTGTGCTGCGTTTGCAGCCTCCCAATTGCTAACCATTCCTTCTTGTCTTTGTGCTTTCCTTGACAAGGTTTAAGTGGGACACGGAGAGCTTCAAGCCAGATTTCTCCATCAGCCCCACAAAGGGTTACATCTCTCCAGGAATGGATGTCCCCTTCACTGTGACCTTCTGCCCTTCTAAGCTGAGCCATGCTATCCAGTATGAGGGCCTGCGGTGTTTCATCCAGGGCAGTCAGCCGCTCCGGCTTACACTGTCAGGATGCTGCAGGGAGACCCCTGTGACCAAAGAGGTAACCAGAGCAAAGGCAGGATGGGTCCCCCCCTTACCCCACCATTTTAACGACATCCCTCCCAGGGCAGGCCATTTAGATGCATAGACTCAATCCTGCCTGTTTTCCTGCCTGGGTATCCCAGAGAGCTGTGAAAACCTCTGGGCAGGATTCCCAAAATTTCTGAGCCGTGTAATTGCCTTCCTTCCCTGTTAAATGCACTGCTCCTCCAGTGAGCACCCCAGCTGTCCTGGCTCTGCATTGCAGCACCCTTGCAACGGGGACACCCTGCAGGGCTCTTCTGAAACCCTCCCCACAGAGCTGCCCAGCTTTAGCCACAGTATTGCACCCACAGCCATGCTTTTCCTCCCTTTCGGGGCAGGGGAGGGCATTCAGTGCTAGGAGTGGGCAAGGCAACTGCATCCTGCTCCTGGGGCACGGGATGCAACATGGAGAACTCCTGGCTCTCATGGGCATTCCAGGAGGGTGCAGCTGGGAGGTGTTGGCTCTTGCTCCCAAAAGAGAATCCAGAGCTGCTCTTCAGCCTGCCCACAAAGGGGCTGTGCAGCTGCAGGTCTTGTTCTTGCACAGGAGAGCTTCCTTCCAGGACTCCCCATTTTCTTTCTGCCCTCCTTGGGAGGTAGCAGGCCCCTTCACCCAGCATGCAAAAGACTTGTTCCTCTCCCTTTGTTAAGAACAACCAACTTGATTTACTCCAAAAGCTATGGCCCAAATGGAAATTTTGCACATGACAAGGAAAAGCTGCTCCTTGTGCTCCAGGTCCTGGTATAGAGCCTAGTCAGTCTGAGAAGAGTGGAAAGGGTTCCTTGGTACAACCAAGCAGCCTCTGTGCTCCTCTGTTGCAGACACTGACTTTCACATGCAACGTGCGTGAGAAGCACAGCCAGACCATCCTCCTTTCCAACCCAAGCAACAAAGCCTGGACTGTGCAACCTGTCATTGAGGGGGAACACTGGAAGGGGCCTGAATTTTTCCATCTGGAGGCAAATCAACAAAAAAAGCCCTACAAGATCACCTACAAACCTCTAACCATGAGCTGTGAGAATAATAAGCATCAGGTATGTGAGCTGTGCCAGCATGCTGACCCTCATCCTCACCCTGCTTTGGGCAGGAGGTTGGATGAGGTGACCTACAAAGGTTCCGTCCAAGCTGAAATTGCTCTGTGATCTATGTTGGAAGTTGGATTTCTTGGCAGCTAGGGGCCAGGCATAGGGAAAGTGCAGGTGGGAAGTCTGGACTGACCACTAAATGTATTGGAGCAGCAAACCTAAAAAGCCCGGTTTTCTGGTCCAGGCAATGAAGTTTGTTCTGTGCAGCTCCTGGTCCCTGCCTGTGCAGCCCAGTGGGGCTCGGAGACCCCCCAGTGCTCAGCCCTGTGAGCTTCACAGGCTCCCCAAGCCCTGGGCACAACCATTTCTGCCAGCACTTCCCTGGCAGGGTCCTTTTGCAGTATGCAGGGAACATGGGGGGTGAAGCTGCCCTGCCATTTCTCAGTGCCCCCCTGGCCATGAGCAGTCAGGTGGGAAATGACACGGAGATCTCTTGACATCACCTTCAGTAATACAGGAGCTTTGGAAAGAGCCCTTCCTGCAAGTCTCAAGCTGGGCAGATGGGGCATGACTGGCCCCTCTGTTTTCATGGGCACTATTTCAGAGACACACCAGGGACAAGCTTTTAATTCAAGGGGTTCATTTCAGAATGGCTCTGGGGTGCTGGAGGTGGGTGTCAGGCACGTGCCCCTTGTCCTCCTCCAGCTGACCCTCACTAAGCCAGAATTCAGGCCAGGGCAAGAGTGGAGGCTAGAGGCTTCTGGGCTCAGACTCCAGAGTGCTCAGCAGATCTGTGCCCTGTAGGGTTGCATATGCTCAGTGTCTCTTTAATGTAGAGCCCTGCATGAAGTGCCCTGCAGTTTTCAGCTACTCTGGAGGCAGAGGTGGCAGGGGTACTCTGGAGTACTCTCAGTACTCTGGAGCAGGGCAGGTGGCTGTGACCCATTGGCACCATACTGGATATGAGCTTTTCATGGCCCACCCTGGCTGGTGGGACCTTGCCATGCTAGCTTACAGGCTGCTCTCTTGGCAATAACGTTGGGGCTAATCCCAGCACTGCCAGGGCAGTTGAGCTTGGCCGGGACGGCCACCCCCTTGCCATGGCTGTCCCTGCATGAGCGCAGAGCTGGCAGCTAATGTGCCCAGGTTAGTAAGGCGAGTAAAGGAGTGTTAGGATAGGCAGACTGGCTCTGCTGCAGGACCGGCGTTTCCTTGCTTTGTCCAGACATGCTGCCTCTGTATCCTGTAGCTGTGCCAGCCCGAGCAGATATGACGTTGCCATCTCCACCCATGCAGGACACAGGGCTGCAGTCACAGCTCTGCCAGCTGGACTTGCTCAAAGCTGCTCAGGTGACAGCCTGAGATGTGGGACACTCTGGGTGTGCTTGAAAGCCAGTAACTGGTCTGGACAGAGAGCAGGAGAGCTCACTTATCCTATTTCTTGTCTCTAGGGCTCCATCTTCTTCCCATTGCCGGATGGGACATGCTTGTACTACCTCCTGCAAGGGACTGCTGAGGCCCCCAAGTGTTCAGGGACCATTTTCCGGCAGGTTTCATGTAGGACTTCCTACACTGAGCTCATCCCTGTCTCCAACTGGCTGAACAAACCACAGAGGTGAGTCCAACCCAGGAAGTCTTGTCCCATCAGCAATCCCTGCAGAAGCACTAGGAAAGGCTTCCCACTGCCTGGAAACTCCTTCATATAAGCTTTTCACTCGCCATTTCTGGCCCTAGGTGTCTGGGATCACACTACCCACGTTCTGCCTATGCAGACCCATCCTGGAGGGGATGAGGGCTGGCTCCCTCTGCTTGAGGCACTGAGGGTGAGAGGGGCTCTGTTGTACCCCCACATGAGGGGCGTCCTATGGGAGTCCTTCCTGTTGACCATCACTGCATGCTTCTCACCCACAGGTTCCTCGTGGCAGTGGACATACTCAAACCAGAAAACCTGGAAAGCAGTTCTGTGATGCAGGGGCTAGAATATATTGATGTACCAGGCTCTGCCAAGAAGGACTACAAGCTCACATTCCTCTCCTACAAGGAAGGAGTTTTTAACACAACGGTAAGTGTGGACATGGGGCTGTGGGGCTCTTCAGGGAGCTGTTGGCTCACTGAGAAGCTACACGCCTGTTTTGATACCTCCACTGGTGGGATTGTAGGTGTTCTAGGTGGGTACTGAACAGCAGGCATCTCCCCACACACCCACTCAGGTCTCCATCTCTGTGAGGGTCCCACTGAGGGCTGCAAAGCCCAGGTGGGTCAGGGCATTGGTGGGCTGGAAGCAATGGGTGATTGGGAAACACCACACATGCTTTCCCCAATCTTGCACTCTTCCTGAGTGGCTGCTTACAGCTGTTCTTGGAAGTTGGGTGCTGAGCTTGGGGGGCTCTTTAGGCTGGCTTAGTACAGCTGGTGTATTTTTATGTACAGCATGACCAGCGCTTCCCTTTTTCTCTGACTCAGGTGACCTTCCTCAATGAGGCGACCAAGGAGTACCTGTTCTACATGGTGACTTTCAAGGCCACCACTTCGGGACCCATCAGCACTGTTGAAATGACCACCGCTGTTCGACAGAGAGTGTCTTCCACTGTCAAGGTGGACAACCCTCTGCCTGTCCCAGTGACATTTGCCGTAGATTGCAAAGTGCCTGACGTCAATGTTCCCCAGCATTTCACGGTTCCTGCGCAATCAGAGGTAGGCACAAAGCTCATCCAGTATGCTCTCCTCTCCCTGCAGTCTTTCTGGGAGTGGGTGCTCTTGAAGGGTGATGCCCTACATGAACCATCGGCGGCTGCTTTCCAAGGGTGACATCTCCCACCTGCTAATAATCTGAAGGGGAAGCAGCATGTGAGAACATCCCTAGTGGGAATCGCCCTGTGCTGGTGGAGTCTGCCATGGTCCCCCTTGTGATATGCTCCCCTCAGGCCTCGCATGGCTGGCCCTTGTGCCACATGCACCTTATTTAGTGTGGATATTTTCAGTTTAGAGTGGCTGCAGGGCATGCCTCACCCCACTAGCAGGGTGTTTGCAGCCTGGATTGATAGGAGGCGTTGTGTGTCCTGAGGAGAATAGGGGCATTTTAGGGTGGGAAGCTTCTAGGATAGTGCTGGAGGACTCTCAGATGTTGGGGTGGTCCCCCAAGTGAACTGTTCCCCAGACGCAGCAAGGCTGTGCACCAGAGAGAGGGAGTTGGAGTGAGGGCAGGTGCTGGGTTCCTTCCAGCACTGTGTGAGTGCACCAGGGACCAGTTTCTGCTGTTCTGGGCCCTGGCTTACCTGTCTCTGCCTGACCCCATGGCTTTTCCCTTTGTTCCTCCCAGGCTGACCTCATCTTTGAGTACCAGCCCCTGAAAATGGGTGAGAGCACCGGATGCCTGGTGCTCCAGAGCAGCGACTTGGGCTCTCTCTACTACAACTTGCACCTGAAAGCCACTGCAAGCAGGCCCGAGAAGCCCCTCTACTTCTGTACCACGCTGGGCTGTAGTCAGGCCATCACGACAAAAATCATTAATTATGCCAAGCAGAAGACAGATTACCTCCTCCAGGTGACTCCAGCCTGTCCAAGGCTCTTACTGGGAGGCAGCTCATGTGGCTAGCATCAGCCCTCTCCATCGAGTCCCTCCAGCTCGGCCTGGCATAGCCAGCGTGCCTATGTGAGCCCGGGATGCTTCCTACAGATGCTGGGCTTGTCCCCAGTTGGACTGTCCTCACTTGCAGACCACTCTCTGTTGCCCTTGTTGGAGCTGCTCTTGGAGGTTCCATGGTGGCTGGACTTCCACCCTAAACCCCAGCTCTGGCAGTAAGGTCTTTTGAGGTTTGGGTGCAGGGTTGTCCCTGATGGGCAAGTTTGGACAGTCCTTATGGTCATTCACGAGGGGTGTGGGGGCGGAGGCAGGTGCAGTGACAGGCACAGGAAAGGGACCCTAGCCAACATGATGGCAGGGGACTATCAGTTTCTTCCTAAGGTGCTCGCTGTGGTTTTGTGACCTGTCCCCCTCCATGGTCTCTTCTCTCCCCTGTGCAGACCAACTGCAAGGACTTCCAGACAGAGAAAACCGTCACCATGGCCCCCGCCAGCCCGGGGGGCTCGGAAGTGAGCGTGGAGGTGACCTACGAGCCCTGCCAGCTGGGCGAAAGCAGGGCCACGCTGAAGCTCTCCTCGCCACTTGGGGAGGATTACAGTATCCCCCTCTTTGGCCTCGCCCTCCCGCCCAAGCCCCAGGGCCCCTTCCCTATCAAGGCCGGCAGCACCACCTCCATCCCCTTCAAAAACATCTTCCCA